TGGTCAGACTGCTTCAGAAACAGCTCACTGCCCAGGGGCTCTGTTGTCTTTCTAATACTGTGGAAGAAATAGTTTATTTGAGAATATATGTTTTTCCCAGAGTGACTGTAAAATAGTCTATAAGTGAATGACACTGATGGAACGTTTGCATTAAAACTGGAGAGGTATTTTCTCAGAGTCGTCAAAAACTCTATGAGCTCAGTCCTCCACCACGTCTCCCAGGACTCTCTCCCACACAGACTCATGTGCTTACGACACCCTCTTCCCCATCTTGAGGAGCCCGTGAGTGATGCTCATTTGAAGGTTCTCTTGCTGTGTTTCTTGTTTTTCCAAGGCAGTTTCTAAGCGCTGGCAAGCATGTCCTTGTGGAATACCCCATGGCGCTGTCATTGGCAGCTGCTCAGGAACTGTGGGACCTGGCTGAGAAGAAAGGTGACGTATGCTCTCTGTCTGCACACAGACCCGCTTATTAAGGCTTTCTGCCCTGAGGAGCTGTGTGACTGCATCTCTATACTATACTTTCAAGCTCAAACCATTTCAGGCATGTTGCTCTTCCTACACAGTGGAGGGACCTGGAGTGCACAGGGATTCGTGGAAATGCGTAAACTTTTTTTCTTCCAATTTTACTTGATTGTTTTAGAAGTGATATATAATGGGGATACATTCATATACATCCAGAAATAAGTACATATGTTTTTGCATAATGTCCTCTCTTCCCTCCTTCTCTTCCCTTACCACTCCCTCCCATCTCCACCCACAAGTTGCATAGTTCACTTTTTTCATCAATGTGCAGCACTCCACTGCTGTATTTTTTCACCCTTTTTCCTCCAATTTTCTGCCCTCCCCCCACCCTTCCACAGATGTGAATGTGAATACACCTTACATAAGGTAAAGAATACAGAGTCAACAAAAGAAAAAAAATTAAGAAAAAAGTCCTTTGTTTCCATATATTTGGAGTTTGTTTCAGTATGTATATTATATACATATGAAGAGGTATTTGGGTATTGCACCTTTGTGATTTTCTCCTAAGACTATCTCTGGTCCCACTCTATGGAAGCATCTAAAATTCTTTGTATTTTGTAGTCCAGTACCTTTCAGATCTAATTTCCACATATCAGGGAGAACATGCACCATTTGTCTCTGATCTTGGCTTATCTAACTTAATATGATTTGTTCTAGTTCCATCCATTTTCTTGCAGATGACATTATTTTATTCTTTCTAATGACTGTGTGGCTAGGTACCATATTTCTTGGATCCACTCAGCTATTATGGGGCATCTAGGTTATTTCCCTATTTTTACTGTTTTGAATAGTGTGGCAGTGAACATGGTTGTGCAGGTGTCCTTATCATATCCTGGCTCATGATGCTTAGCGTAGATGCCTAGGAGTGATATGGCTGGATCATAGGGAAGGTCTGTGTTTAGTTTTTTAAGGAACCTCCAGACTGCTTTCCAAAGTAGTTGCTCTAGTTTACATTGCCACCAGCAGTGCAGTAGGGTTCCCTTGCCCCACATCCCCACCAGCATTTTTGTTGTTAGAATTCAAAATGTTGTCCAATCTAACTGGGGAAAAATAATGTCTCAGTATTGTTTTGATTTGCAGGAAATGTGTAAACTATGACCGGGACTTAAAAGATTCTTTTTCTTCATTGAAAAAATTGAATTCCTTTCCACTTGAGCTAGTCTCAGGACCTTTTTCTGGTTATATTACCAATAGAAATGTGTCCCATTAGAGTACTTGATTGTCCTTCATGTGCATTTTGTGTGGTTTCTGTTTTACCAAGGTAACAACTATTTAGAAATGTTCACTGTATGTCAAGAATATAAAACAAATTTTTTTTGTCTATCGGTCGTGGGGCTTGAACTCTAGGCCTGGGCACTGCCTTGATCTTCAGCTCAAGGCTAGCGCTCTACCACTTGAGCCACAGTGCCACTTCCGTTTTTCTGGTGGTTTATTGGAACTAAGGGTCTCATGGACTTTCCTGCCTGGGCTGGCTTTGAACCTTGACCATCAGATCTCAGTCTTCTGAGTAGCTAGGATTACAGGTGTGAGCCACCAGCACCCAGCTGAAAACTCTTTTATACACTGTGCTTAATTTTTTGGGTCCGGTCGTGGGGCCTTGAACTCTGGGCCTGGGCGCTGTCCCTCAGCTCTTGAGCTCAAGGCTAGCGCTC